AGACAGTAAAGTCCATACTTTAAATTTCCTTTTCTTCCCAGTGACCCCTTACCCAAAAAATGAGATCGGGCTTACACCGTTTTTCTTCATTGTATGAAGGCACGACAACAGAGAGCCGTTTGGTAGGTGAGTCCCAGATGCTGGGCAATGTTTCCTTCTGTCCTCTGGCATTTAAGAAGAACCTCTCTTCTTCATGTTGATGGAGGTATGGCATTTTCGTAGCAGTTATAAATGCAACAAAGGAAATCTAAAAGCAGTTATGTTAACAAGAAATTATGCTACGTTCACTTTTTTTTTAGATTTGTTATATAAGAATACATCACTTTTGTGGTTTTTTTTTTTTTGGTGGAATATTTACTCTCAGTTTTTAGTCCATTAACAGTGGTCTGGAGGTGACACCAAAATTCAAATCCCTTACTTAGGAACTCATTATTGTCCTTTCTTCCACTGGTAAGGAACTAATGCCTTAAGAGGCTCCCTGTCTCTTCCCACCTGTCATCCTTAGGCCTCTGTCATCCTAGATCTAATAGGGAATAGTCACTACAGAAGTACAATCCACTCTAAGATGCCCTGAACCCCCAATCCCTGGCAAACGCACTGTGAGGTCCCATTCCTACTTGGAGCCTATATGTAACAGAGAATAAGTTCACAGTACAGGTGGAATGTATGGAGTGAGGGCAAACCTCCCATCTAGGACCGGATTGACCCAGGGTATGAAGGGAAGACCCCTCTATCCCCATAGTAGGGACCAGTAATGCTTAAGAATATATTCTTGACACTTATCCCTGATTTGAATTCAGAATACATTATTTTTTGAAGTAAAGTATCAAATTTGTAGGCTCTGGCACCATTCACTACTAACATTAGATAGCCCCCTTCCATATTTATTTGGGAACTAGCTTTGGAAATAACCATTCTTTGTAACATTGTTTCTACTGGTACACTTTCTGCTTTTAAAATAGTCAATTCACAAATTTTTGGAATGCTACTCATTTTTAATGTGGTGACCATTTATAATATTCCGTTGGGTACATACTGAAATTGAATTTGCTTTGATTAGTAGGAGCATGGAGGCAGTATCCTGACTAGTGGTTAAGAGTTCCTATTCTGGGGCGCCTGGGTGGCTCAGTTGGTTAAGCGACTGCCTTCGGCTCAGGTCATGATCCCAGAGTCCTGGGATTGAGTCCCGCATCGGGCTCCCTGCCCGGTGGGGAGTCTGCTTCTCCCTCTGACCCTCTTCCCTCTCGTGCTCTCGATCTCTCATTCTCTCTCTCTCAAATAAATAAAATCTTTAAAAAAAAAAGAGTTCCTATTCTGCACCCCAGTGTCCAGATATTGTGATTTCTAAATTCAGTTTCCTATTGAAAGGAATCAGTGCTCTTTGTAAGATGCCAGAGTATCATCTCATTATTTTGAAAACTTGCCTTTTATAAAACTTAACCTTTTACATATGAAAGATATTTCAGAGTAACTGAATAGCTGAGAATGAAATTTTTTTCATTACAGAATTCTAGGTAATACATGAAAAAGGAATCATACAATTAAAATCTGCACTCTGCAACCCCCAGAGAAATATGGATTTAGGTTGACAAACTATATAATTGGTGAGTCAGGCTAACAAAATTCCTGAATCCCTGGATCCATCTTAACACCAGAGAAAATCAGATATTACAAGCCTTCTGACATAAGAGGAAGTATTCAGCATCAGTCACATACTTTTTTTTTTTTTAAAGATTTTATTTATTTATTTGAGAGAGAGAGAGAGAGAGAAACAGCGTGAGAGGGTAGAAGGTCAGAGGAAGAAGCAGACTCCCTGCTGAGCCAGGGGCCAGATGTGGGACTCGACCCCAGGACTCCGGGACCATGACCCGAGCCGAAGGCAGTCACCCAACCAACTGAGCCACCGAGGCACCCAGTCAGATACTTTTTTTGATTAAAAAATTCAAACATGCATTTGATTAAGTCTCTAAATGTTACTACCAGTTTATAGGAAATTCAGGGGACAGAGTAAGATGTTAAAAGTTACCAAGGGGATGCAATCAATAAAATCCAGAGTGTGAGAAATGCTATAGGACAAATGAACACTTGTTAAAGACAAGGGAAAAAAAGAAAACAAAAAAAGGACAAATTGTTACAGATTAAGATATCTGAGACATCAGCAGAGTGCTAAGTGTGTGTGAATGCTTAAATGAACAAATGACTATACTAAAACATACATGAGGCATCTGAACTGATGGGATGTTTGAAATAATTGAATAATAGTTAAAAATTTTTAAGAATCCATTATAACTTTATTATGGTTACATTTAAAAAGGGGTGTCTTTAAAGATAAATGCTGAGGGTTTACAGATAAAGTGTTAGATCTCGGATTTGCTTCAAAATAATTCAGAAAGGAAGTGGGATGAGGAAGAGTATGTATGGAAAGTGGATATATATGAAACTAGTTGTTTTTTTTTTTAATAATGATTTCCTGCTCTGGCATTTTAAACAAATGAAGGTCCACTAGCTGTGTGACATTTTTATACATAACATACTTAATATACATAATATAATTTTCATATGTACATACATACTCTCCAATCTCAGTCTCCTCATCAAATGAAGCTAATGATGATAACATTTATGTCAGCGTTGTTTTAAAGATACACAAGATAACCCCTGTTAAACACTGAATACAACACCCAGCATATTATAAGTCCTCTATGAATGGTAGCTCTTATAATCACTTCAAGCTAGTGGGATCAAATACTTGCAGTACACCCTCATAATGCATCCATTTAACTCTGTGCAACAGAGAGATTCAACAAACAGATTCAATCTAGGATTCTGTCCAAGTTCTGCCCCACCAACAACCTGACTTGCTCAAAAACCCGAAAAAACCCTGAAATCTTCATATACCACTAAGGGAGAGAGAGGCCTCCTTTCTCACCCAGACACAAATCACCGAAGAAGTCAGGTCACACTGGTTTTTCTCTATTAAATTGTTTCTACACTGTGAGTTTGCAAACCTGGCAAGATGGAAGAATGGCCTTCCGAGCAGTGCTATCTAGGGGGCGCATCTGGGTGTCGAGGAAGCAGAAACCTCTCCATGCACGAACTGGATGGCAGGCTCATTCCAAATTATATGGGAGAAAGCTCACTTGGCAAATTGTCTATTACTAACGGATCAGCAAGTGTTTAGAATGGTTCTATTTCCAGAGTAATGGCAAAGAAAATCCGAGTTTGAATTCTATTGTACTGCCTCCTTTAGAGGCTGCGAATATAGGGTGTTTAATTTTGGGAGTAACGACTCCGACATATGGTAACACTAGGCCTGTGTGTCTTGGTCTTACTGTGTCGCTACTGATCTTCTTGATCCACTGATTTATTCCGATCTGTAACAGATGGTTCTCGTCAATGCTCTGTCACCACCTTCTATCTGCTTAACCACATCAGGAAAAGGATGAGTCTGGGAAGCACACACATCCTGGGGGCTCAAGACCTTCCCGGGTGGAGCTGCATAGGCTGCAGATCCGGGAGGAAGTCTTGGAGACTGACAGGGCGGGTGGACAGAGGTCCGGGGACCAAGGGACGAGTGGAGACTGGGTGAGCACGTCCCACAGTGAACAAAAGTACCAGGGTCTGGGCACAGAGGGAGGTAAAGCTCTAAAATAAAAATAAAGGGAAGAAAGGGGGTGTGAAATTCTAGGAGAGGAAATCCTGGGGTCAAGGCTTGGGAGAAGGATGGTGCAAAGGGATAGGTCAAAGAGTGGGCTGTGCAGAGGAGAGGATACGTGGCGGCCGAGTCTCCAAGACAGCAGGGAGTCTAGGCCCGCGTCGGTCCCCCATCCCTCTCCTCACCAGTATCAGGACTGCGGCCGCCAGCGCCACGCCGAGCACCGCCAGCTGCAGCAGAAGCCAACTCATCCTCCATGCCCAGGTCGCCGCCCGCCCTACCCAGCACCTACACACACGCGGAAGCGCGGCCGCGCAGCCCCGCCTCCCGCCGGCAGAGGGGCAGCGCCGGCCAGGCGCCCGCCGCCCACACCGCCCCCTCGCGGCAAGGCGTTGCGTTCCACTGTAGGGTTGACAGAATCAGCAAGTAAAAATACAGAATGTCCACTTAATTTGAATTTCAGGTGAGCAGTAAACAGTTTTTTGACAGCCTTGTTAAAATAGAATTCACACACCATACAACCCACCCATTTAAAAGGTTTTGGTATATTACACGAGTTTTTAAAACCTGTGATACAACATAAAATTTGCCATTTTAACCATTTTAAATATACAGTGCACAGTGGTACTAATTATATTCACATTTTTCTGCATCCATCACCATTATCTATTTCTAAAACATTCTTCGCTGCCCCCAGCCCCTGGTAACAACTAATAACATGTACTATTTGGCGTATACTCATAGGAAAAAAAAATTACTCTTTGTTTATCTGACATTCAAATTTAATTGGATGTCCTGTATTCTGTCTGGCAACCCTACCTAGGAGGAAGGGGGGAAGGCCTTGAGCCACAACACAAGAGGCTCCTTTGGAGCCCGCTCCGGGGACCTGCAAAGTGTAACCTGGTGCGGATAATGAGCACCCAGAAAGTTTACGTAACTCTCCAGTGACTGAGCAGGGGGTCCTTTACTTGGGAGGAGGCAAGCCCAGGGCCCAGCCTCAGATGGAGGCGGGAAAAGGACAGGGAAACTTTGGAATAATGCTCCACACTCAATACTCAATTCTCGGCAATAAGGTCGGTTTTCTCTTAAACCCCTGAACTACCAGACTGTTTCTCAAGAGACACACTCGTCTCTTTCCCAATAGCAGATTCGTCAAAACGCATCCAAGGCAAAGAAGCCTAGAGGCGTGCGGGAATAGACACCGTCGGAGAAAAGGTGGGCCGGGAACCACCCTCCCCGCGCCCAGCCCTTTGCGTCTGAAGCAGCGGGAGAAGGGCGCGGGCGTCCCTGTCGAAAGTTTGGAGGCGGCGTAGGCGCGCGGCCCGGAGGCGCGGTGTCGCCCGGCGCAGGCGCACGCGCGCGGGCGGGAAGATGGCGGCCGGGTTCAAGTGAGTGTTGGCGGCCGGCGGTCGCGTGTTTGTACTGTGGTGGTTGGAGGCTTCCTTTAACCCTTCGCTGGGATATTTCTCACCTGGAGGCCACCCTGCCAGATTCCCATTTCTTTCCCTCATGGAAGCAGGCGACGGGCGGAAGGACCTGGAGGCGGTCGTAGTGAAAGGAAAGGGGGCTTTTTCTCCGCAGTGAGAGGGGAGATGAAAGGGACTGTGTACAGAGTTCAGTACCCGCGGCAAGCGCTTGTGGCCTGGTGTAGTGGACGTGCGGCCCCAGGGGACCCCGTTGTAATCTTTTTAAAAAGTGTTGTATCAGAACCCCATGCCACCCTGTGCTTCCTCTCCTCCGTGATTTATTTCTAAAAGGATTGTGCCTTGTTCGGAAGGTTTTACTTAAGCCTTTTTTGTGCCACTCTGGTGAAGCCTGTAAGATTTTTGTCCTCAAGAGTCAAGTTTTTAAATGGATAAAATATGTAAGATTCCAAAGGAAAACAATTGTATTGACGCAGTTATCTCTTTTTGTATAAACTCCGAGTTGTTGAAATAGTGATACACACGTGCTCTTTTAACAACATTCTTAAACTCTAGTGGGGAGTCTGTAACTGTTAAACTCCTGGAATCCCAAAGTAACGAGTACGAGTCTTCACGTAAGCTTCGACAACTATAAAGTAAAAACGGAAACATTTAATCTCTGTGGTTGTTAAAGTTGCAGGTACTAATATTTTATAAAGGTTTATTGCCTACAAACATAATTGAAGAATATGCTAAATTTCAGCTCCAGGATAGTGAAAATAAAGGTGAAATTTTTTCATGTTAAGAATCCCTGCTTCAGAGCGAAAGTGACATTATTTTAGCAACTGGATTAATTCTTTTAAAGATGCCCAAAGGCTTTGGGCTCCAACGTGTAATTGTTTAGAGTTAAGGAGCAGTTGAGTGTGATTACTACTGCAAGAGTATCTCTTTTTAGTAGTTATATGTGGCAACATAAACTTTCAGAATTCATGAAAGAAACTTAGTTTCAAATTGGGGAGATTTATGCTGCATCATCACACTCCTAAGATCTTTGCCAGTTTTTGACTTATGTTAAGATTCATTAACTTACCTCATATATTTTTAACATGTTTCAGAACTGTGGAACCGCTGGAGTATTACAGGAGATTTTTGGTGAGTAAAGGTGGTTATGTACAGGTTGTACCTTTTGATAACAGTATCATGGACTTCTTTTCAAATTATATGAATTAACGAGGTTTAATGTGTTTTCCCTGGTGTGTGTAAAATATAAATGTAGATGTAATTTGCTTTCATGTAAATTTATTTAGAAAGAAAACTGCCGTCCTGATGGAAGAGAACTTGGTGAATTCAGAACCACAACTGTCAACATAGGTGAGGATGTTTTTGAGTTCTAAAATAGAATGAAGTTGCTTCAGACTTTGTTTTTTCATGTATTTTATTTGCGATATTTTTTAAACTCACTATTGTTTCAGTTGTCATGTTCTTTTTAAATTTTGAAGTAACTGTAGTGTTTTCTCTCCCTTTCTTCCTTCAAAACCTCCAAGACATGATTTTCTTACATCTTACACTTATTAAACTTTGTTGCAAACACAAAATTTTCCAGTTTAACCTGTATGACATTCTTGAGTTTTAGCCTGAGCCATTTAAACAATATTTGAGCCAAATTCTACCATACCTAAGGGAATCCAGTGATTTTGTGTCAAGAGATTTTTTTCTGTAGGACAGTTCTGTGACCGAATGCAAATGATTCAAATTCAAGAATAGGTGAATAATTCCTAAAACACTAATTTTAAAATAGTTACATCATTTAAAAAAGACTTGAGCTAGGAATAAATTTTCATAAGCAACTGAGATATATAGCAACATAAAATTTTATGTAGAAAATGAACACTTTCCGTGGACTTTTTCATTTTATTATCTTTTTCAGGTTCAATTAGTACTGCAGATGGTTCTGCTTTAGTGAAGCTGGGAAATACTACAGTAATTTGTGGAATTAAGGCGGTAGGTTTAATATGTCTTACTGAGATTCAAATTACCAAATTAGCTTCATATTCTTATTAGATTGTAATTTACACCTATATTTCTGTTGATTAGGCAGTCAGGTGTCAGTTTTTTAGTATTCTTCATTTTCTAAAATGACCCAAGTCCAGTGACTCTTAATTTATGAACATGCATCAAATGGGCTGAAATGAAACCATTTTAGAAATCCTCACTACCTTTAATTTTTTAAGAATTTGGTTGTTATTGAGAAGGAGATTTTTGGTGACATTCTTTTATCCAGTGATAGCATTTAATTTGTGCAAATAATGTAGAAAATTAAGACTGCTCCCGAGAAAAGCTTGAGGGAATAAGAGCCACTTTTTACTGAGTACCTTTTATGTCCCAGGCACCTTAAATTAGATGCTTTATTACAGAATTACTAGTTTAATCATGAGAACAATCACTTGAGGTATAATTTCTGTCTTCTGTTTTACATGAGATTCAGTAACTTGTCCAGGAACGTGACTAGAACTTAGATATAACTTTGACTCCAAAGCTTGTGCTTTTTTCACTATGTTGCACTGTGATTACTTAAAGTAACCTAAGTTGAGATTCTTCCTCAGGGTGATAAAGCTGGGGTGATATCTGACAATATGATCTAAGCACTTAATTGTGCCACCTTTTATGCTGGGGACATAATATCTCATTTGACCCTCATTAAGAATCCCTAAAAGTAGGTCATATTAATTTCTCATTTTGCAGATGAGAAAATTGAATGGTAAGAGGTTCTATGATTTGACTACAGTCCCTCAGCCAAAAAGTGTGGGTCTGACATTCAAACCAGGTCAGTGAGTCCCAGGCTTTTGCTTACCACTTTATCACTTCCTAAATCTGGCTGTGTTAAGGATCACCTTGGGTTTAAATTCAGATTCTTTGCTACTAAATGAGAGGAAGAAAACCAATTACTATGTTTTTTTTAAAAGAGCCCCATATAATTTTGATTAGTAGCACTAGAATGTAGGCAGCTAAGCTATGCTGCCTTTTTAACCTTGCAGACCTAATATGAGGATTTGTGCCAATGTCCTTATAGCCCAATAGGACTCCCTAAAAAGCACAGTAGATGGCTAAGATGGTCTTTGCTGCAGGTTTCTCTAACTGATTGCTAAGCTGTCTTCACAATTATTGAATAGCTTCTTTCATAGGAAACATTTGTTTGCTTCTTTAGGAATTTGCAGCACCACCCACAGATGCCCCTGATAAAGGATATGTTGGTAAGTTAAATGGTTTTTTTAATTTTAATACAAATACTTTAATAATACATTTAATGATAATATTGTAGTTCAGTCCTAGTAGCTGAGTTGAAGAAAATGTAGATTCAGAAATACATTGGAATGAAGCAGATTCCTGAATAGTTAGAAGATAGCCTAATAAGCAAGATAAAGGGAATTTTGTAACATTTTCAGCTTTGATCAGTTGTTTATACATTCAGATGTCATCAACCAAGAAAACAATCTCTTAGGAAAGGGTTGTAATCACAAACTTTTGTTTCCATAAATACTCATTTATACCACTATGCAATTTTCTTCTTGCCTTGGACCATCTTTTCTTTATGGTAGGTACCAACATTTTTAAAAATGTAGGCAGTTGGGTATGAGTACAAAGGCGATCTGCTGTTATAGATTGAGGTATATTGGAAGAAATCTTATTTTTTTCTGAAGGATTTGGGGATTGAAGCCTTCCTTAATAGATGCTTTTTATATTTTTGGTATTTGTGTGAAAAAAAAAAGTTGGAAATAGATTTTATCTAAGCCTGAGAGTATTACAATGCTTTCCACTTGCAAATCCTATCTATGGCTACAGTCACCTTTGCAGTGGATTGAGAATAAAACTTCCATAAACCAGAGGTGAAGTTTAGTTCATAGCTGCAGAGTGTTTCTTTCAGTTCCTAATGTGGATCTACCACCTCTGTGTTCATCGAGATTTCGGTCTGGACCTCCTGGAGAAGAGGCCCAAGTGGCTAGCCAGTTCATTGCAGATGTCATTGAAAAGTAAGATCATCCTGCTAACATCTATCATTCATTTTCAGAGTTTTTGACCTTTAATTTATTGTGCTTTATTATTAAATCAAGTTCACAGATAATTCAGAAAGAGGACTTATGCATTTCTACAGGAAAGGTAAGATGAATAAAGAAACTATGAGGTTTTATTAATTCTGAATTGTTTTTTAGGGGAAGAGAACAGGGAAATTAATAAACCAGTGGCCTTAAATATGAATGTCTTTAGATGGAATTTATTTTTAAAAAAATCCAGCTTACTCTGTACCTAAATAAACCATGTTATTTCATAAAAAAAAGTTTTGAGTAATTTCTTTTATTATCTAATTGGGAGCTACTTTTTATGGTGAGGGAACTTTTTTCCTGTTTCCAACAAATAATTCAGATATACATTAGTATCTGATCAGCTGATGTGTTTAGGGTAAATCCACACTACACATTTCAAGTCTAAAATTTAGAACTAAGTTGACTAGGACCTAGAGGCTTTCCTTATTCGATTATATACAAATTTATTAGCATTGTAAAGCCTAGCCATTTCATATATTAAGGTTTCTGTGGGAAAGTATGTTTTGGACTTCATTTAGGACTTCCAAAAGCATTTCTTTCATCTGCTAACTTAGCAAGAATGCAGATTCCTTCTATATCTGTAGCTCTCAATGGAAATCTAGATGTTACTTGTCAGTTTGGTAGTTAAAAGCCAGCTTTTTTTTTTTTTTTAAACCAAACCTGTCTACTTTGTTGGTTATATACTTTGTAGAATTTTTTTTTTTTTAAGTTTTTGAGCCTTGAAGATCATCATGCTTGTTTAACCAAGGATTCTGTGGTTTTAAGTTGAAACGAATACCATGCTCTACCCACCAGAAGTCCTTTAATTTACACTTTGTGTAAATTCTGTTTTAGCTTTCTTGGGTTCTATACTGTGATATCATTTGCCTCGACTATGATGGGAACATCTTGGATGCTTGTACATTTGCCTTGTTAGCAGCTTTAAAAAATGGTAAGCAACCTTAATAAAAGGCACCATTCCTTCTTAGTGTCAGAATAGTTTGGTTAAACTTTATCAAACTTTTTAAAAGTTTTTGTTAATATCAAGTGATCATTCATGAGTTTCTAAATTAAAAAAAATTATTTCCACTAAATTTACCTTAATTATCCTAATTTTTATTTTTTTAAAAAAGATTTTATTTATTTGACAGAGCACAAGTAGGCAGAGTGGCAGGCAGAGGGAGAGGGAGAAGCAGGCTCTCCGCTGAGCAGGGAGCCGGACGTGGGACTTGATCTCAGAAGCCTGGGATCATGATCTGAGCTGAAGGCAGCCGCTAAACCGACTGAGCCACCCAGGCGCCCCAATTATCCTAATTTTTAAAATACTTCTAAACAATTTAAAGAGGGAAAAGTGAATTAATAAAGCGTAGAAACCTGTATTTGTTACAGTGAGAGACTTACTTCACATATTTGCCTTTTTCTAGTACAGCTGCCAGAAGTTACTATAAATGAAGAAACTGGTTTAGCAGAAGTTAATTTAAAGAAGAAAAGTTATTTGAATATTAGAACTAATCCAGTTGCAACTTCCTTTGCTGTATTTGATGAGTAAGTTAACCAGATATATAAAAAATTATGTAATTAAGGTAATGGATTGTTACTCAGCTTTCTAACTTTACAGGAAATGCCCACAGTGACCATACATCCTAGTTTCCCCTGGACACCTAGGTTTGTAACTGTTGTCCCTGCAGAATTATTAGCTAAGCCTCATACTTTCAAAACCATCCTGATTTGGATGATGAATTTTGTGTTCTGTTTCTTGGTTTTCTTATTCCTGTGTAATGTTAATTATTTCACGGAAGATTTACCTTAGTCTACCTTCTTTAATATATTCATAAATTTGAAAGGTGAAGATTCTTACAAGTAGTAGAATGTTAGGTTGCTATTAGCTTTTCTGGTTTCCCACCAGTTCTATCCTAGTGCTTAAATCTGACATCAGTACTGTTCCATGGATTGGTAATTTATATTTTTCTTGTATTTTAAATAGCACTCTGCTGATAGTTGACCCTACTGGAGAGGAGGAACATCTGGCAACTGGAACCTTAACAGTAGTAATGGATGAGGAAGGCAAGCTATGTTGTCTTCACAAACCAGGCATGTTCCTTCCATTTTAACCCTAAACATGTAAAGTAAAACTCAGTGTGAGCTTCTTTGTGTTAGGGAGGGCCAAATGGAATGTGAGAGGTTTTACTGTTTACTGCAGTTTCTTTGTTATCTCAAATTCCTTACTTTTCTATATTGTCTGCCAGTGGTTCTTAAACTTACGGTATGCATCAGAATCACTTGCAGGGCTTGTTTTATTAAAACAATTTGCAAATCTTGAAACAGTCTCACTGGCTTACATTATTGAATTTTTTGTATTATAACTTGATGTTGATTTTTTTATTTTTTAACAAGTAAAATAATAGACATTTAAAGTGTTGTCACAATAATTTTTCAGGTGGAAGTGGGCTGACTGGAGCTAAACTTCAGGACTGTATGAGTCGAGCAGTTACCAGACACAAAGAAGTAAAAAAACTGATGGACGAAGTAATTAAGAGCATGAAACCCAAATAAACAACCACCACATTTTCAAAACGGATTTGTAAAAACTGTATTTGTTACACTGTGCACAAACCTTTTATACTAAATAAATATCAAACTACATTCTTCAGAAAGATGTTTCTAGTATTTCTTAGGTCACTTCCATATGTAGTATGTACAGTGAAACCATTTTTAAAAAGCAATGACTTAGGCAAACCAACCCTAATGGTTTGTTAAACCATCTCCCTGTTTTTAATTAAAAATCATAGGGTTGTGCTTTTGTATAAAGTTTGTACATCTAGCAATGTAAAATACTGACACATTTAAAAAAACAAAACCAAAAAATGAAGTAGAAACTCAGAATCCTTTGATTCAATGCTCTTATGGTTTTAAAAAAGAGAAAAAAAAAAGCAAAGCAAGACTCAGAATTTTGGAGTGGTTGGCGTGCCTCTCTTCATTTTACTTTTTGACTGGCTGCCTGTATGCCGATGACGATGTAGCTGAGCTGTTTGTGCTGCTGCTGCTGCCATAGCCATTTGATGCTGCAAGAATCGCAACTGCTGCAAAAGGGAGGGGAAAAAAAAGTCAAGTTATGTTAAATGTAGGCAAGTATGGAAAGGTGCTTTTCCTGAGAGATGAAAACAACAAAACTGAAAGGGAGAAAGCACCAAGATAACAAAAAGGGACTATATCACACTGAGACAATGCACAGTCAAACAGCACCAGTGGCACAGAAGCCTGCTGCTGAGGGCTTTAAAAATGGGTTCTTGGTAAACTTCAAAAATATTTGTTACTTTGCCCTGCCAGTCTATACTGTAGTAACTCAGCAACTTCAGTTACTATTTTGTTGTATGATAGTTTATAGCAATATAAAACCACCCTGCATACCAAAGATAGTCAACTATAATATGCGGACTTCCTACAATCATGGAATAACATTTTTCTAAAACAGATATGACATTTACTAATAGGAACACTGGTATACTTGCCTTTTTCTGCAGTGCATTATCAAAAAGTTAACCATTGGCACTTACAACTCTGTTTCAAAAAATACTGGAAACTACAAAATATGTTAATGTGCCACCAGCACTTCATGAAAGATTTTAAATTAGGAAGAGTATGGCTCAAATGTACAAGATATGTTCAGTGCTCCAAGGTGACTGGCTAAAATGTCAGACTTTTAAGTAAAATTTGCTAAATTATTTACCTACTATTGTATAGTCTTAAAAGACAGTAAAATAAAACTAGAGTAAGGTATGTTGAAGTACTTTTGGAGCAGAGTATCTTTAAAAATGTAATCAGAGTGAAGTTGCTGGATTACTTGTATCTGTTGCTGCTGCTGTTGAAAGGCAGAGGAGAGCTGGAATCTCTGCTGAGGAAGGCTTTGCTCAGGTCTGTTCTCGGCAGAGCCAAGCTGAGACAACACTACAGAGAGGAGAAGGGAAAGCAGGCCAGTCAAAAAGTTTGAAGGCTACCAGGGTTAGAAAAGGACAACACAGAAAATGAAATAGAAAAGTTATCAGTATGATTAATCTTAAGTATCAAATCACAGACATTTCAGAATAAATTTAGTATCGTCTCCTGTTAGTTGAGGGTACCACTGATTACAGAACCTCCTGGATATGAAAGGGAAGGGAGTGCCCAGGTGCCAAAGCACTATATCCCTTTTCTTCCATCACAATGAAATTTGATACTAGTGTTTTGTTGAGAAGGCTTTCTTGCAAAAATGTAAAATACAGTATGTTGTTTTAAAATCTAATCAATGAAGTAGGAAAGGGAGTGGGAGAAGTCCACACTCCCGTTATGACAAAACTGATGGACAAGTGCTTTAAACAAAAGATGCTGCAATGAGTTTCAGACTACACTACTAGCCAACAATGGTGGTGAACTGAGACTTCAATATTCTATTTCTTTTCAAGCTGAGGGGGACCAGAGTAATCAGTTTAACCCTCTCAATGTACAGATGAAAAAAATTCCAGGCCAAGACGGTCTGAGTGATTCACTCAAAAGTAATTATTGACAGGTCTAGAGCTAGAAACATTCTCATGATTTTTCAGCCTACAATTCTTTCCACTAAAATGTACAAAAGCCACTTTAGGAGATTTTTAACTTGAGTGATAAAGGTTTATGATCACAAATTTCCATTTGGAAATTCACAAGCTCGAAGTATGGCATTATGTAAGACACTGCTTATTCTAAATTCAGACACTGGGAGCTGTAGAGCTATGACAGTAAGCCCAGTGATAATTCAAAACGTTGACATTATGTTTGTTCACTCAATCCTCGAACTCTATCATAGCTTACTTACACATGTGGCTTAGTGACTTTAATAAATGTAATGTTATAATTGCTGTCTTTAAGTGACAAGGTATCTTCATTAATGGTAAATCTTTGGTTCACCATTTACTGCTGGAAGTGGTGAGCAGTCATTTAGTATAATGCCATTTTTTTTGACAAATGATAAAAGTGGCTTATAAAAGTTATGCTGACCATTAAGTCTTGATTTTCATGCAATTGCAAGCTACCACAATGAGACCAAAGACATGCAATCAAGAAAAATGCAGTCTCAATAACCCGGGAGAACTAAGATTTAACAGCTTTGGTAGCTTCCTAGTAAGCTGGATAACTATAAAACTTTACCAACTGTAATGTGAGGAAAACCCAATTGCTATTAATATATGTAGGTAAAAACATTTTTAATCAACTGTCAAATTAACAAAAAAAATCTCAGGGCCACCAACCAACTTAATAGTTCATGCATTAAATAGAACCATATTTTTTCCTCAGTTACTGCTCCTAAGAGAAGGAAAAGAAATAATTAAAATATTGAGATCCCTATGTGATCAGTTATTTTTAGTAAATTCAACATATGAAGGTATAAAGATACCAACCAGCTGCCTGTGATTGCATAAAACTTCCCACTCCAGCAAGGTTAATAACAGCAGCGTGCTGAGCAGATAAGGCCTGTTCTTGACTGGCTGAACCTTGTTCAGAACCCTGAATAAAAAAAAAACACATGACTGTACAAAAAGAACAATTCTGAGTTGGTGAAATTTTTTTCCTCCCGGTAGGAGGAAAAATAGCAACATCAGATTAGGTCTTGTAAAAAGAGTAACAAAGTGGGTACCTGGGTGGCTTAGTTGGTTAAGTGACTGCCTTCCGCTCAGGTCATAATCCTGGATTCCCAGGATCAGGTCCCACATCAGGCTCCCTGCTCGGTGGGGAGCCTGCTTCTCCCTCTGACCCTCCCCCCTTCTCCTGCTCTCTTTCTCAAATCAATAAAATCTTAAAAAAAAAAAAGTAACAAAGTGTTCATGGACTAGAAATTTCACATAGTAAAGATGGTAAAGTCACTTTCAAACTGACCTACAGGTTCAACTCAATTCCTCTAAAAATCCTAATGGTTCTTTTTTTCCTCTACAGACAAGAAGATTCTAAAATTTAGATGGAAAAGAGAAAGATCTAGAACAGCTAAACAGTTTTGAAAAATAAAATGGGAGGAATCACACTGCCTGATTTTAAGACTTACTATATAGTCTACACTAATCAAGACAGTGTGGTACCAACACAGGGATAGATACATAGCTAGGTGGAAGAGAACAGAGAACACAGGGAGCCAGGGAAATACATCTTGACAAAGGTGCAAAAGTAATTCAACTGATTTAAGGTTGGCTTTTTCAACAACTAGTGCTGTAGCAACTGAACAACGATCCCTTTCGCCCCCTGCCGATAAACCTTGACCCTAAGTCTTAACACCTTATATAAAAATTAACTGGAAATGGATCACAGATGTAAATGAAAAGCTATAAAATTGTTAGAAGACAACAAGGAGAAAATCTTTGGGCCATAGGGCTAGGTGAGGCATTCCTAGACAACACATAAGGTATGATACATAAAAGAAAGAAATTGATAACCCAGACTTCATCAAAACTAAAAACTTCCACTCTGAAAAAGACATCCTTTGCTACCACCTAAAACAGTGTTTGAAATAACATTTTAGTAAATAACATAAGTCAAACATTTCAAAAGTTACAAGACAACTTATCTTGAGAGGATTTCCCTGGATACTGATTTAAAAAATGGGCAAAAGGACCTGAGTAGACATTTCTCCAAAGAAGATATATAAACAACCAGCAAATATATGAAAAGATGTTCAAAAGCATTTATCATTAGGGAAACCCTTGTGCACTGCTGGGGAGAATGTAAAATGGTATAGCCATATGGAAAACAGTATGCAGAGCCTTCCAAAAATTAAAAATCCCACTCCTGGGTATTATCCCAAAGAACTGAAAAGCAGGGACCTGAAGAGCTGTTTGTACACCCATGTTCATAGCAGCATTATTCACAGGCAAAAGATGGAAGCAATCCAAATGTCCGACAGATGAATGAACAAAAAAATGTAGTATATACATACAATGGAATATTACTCAGCCTTAAAAACTAAGGAAATTCTGACACACACTAAAACATGGAAAAACTTTGGGGACATTATGCTAAGTGAAGTAAATCAGTCACAAAAAGACAAGCACTATCTAGAGTAGTCAAATGCAGAGAAACAGAAAGGAGAATGATGGTTGTCAGGGTTAGTGAGAGAGGGAAATTACTGTTTAATGGGTACACAGTTTCAGTTTTGCAAGATGAAATGCTGTGGAGACTGGTAGTCTAACAATATAAATATACTTAACATGCACACTTAAAATGATGAAAATGGCAAATTATATATTACATGTATTTTACCAAAGATGGCAAATTATGTATTACGTGTATTTTATAATTTAAAAAAAGTGCAAATCAATTTTATATCCAGCCAAGTAATCCTTCATGTGTTAAAGAATAAAGAAAAACTGTTTTGCATGTGCCCTTCCTGAGAATCTACTAGAGGATGAGCTTTACCCAACCAAGACTTAACTGGGGAATCTTTGTGAACTGAGAAACTCTGGGGAGTGAGACCCAAGAATCAGTATTTTTAGTTCCCAGATAATTCCAAAGTGTAGCAAAGGTTCAGAAAAACTTGTAGTTCCTTCTCCTTTATTTAATTTATTTATTTGACAGAGACAGAGAGCACAAGCAGGGAGAGTGGGAGTGGGAGAGGGAGAAACAGACTCCCCACTGAGCAGGGAGCCTGACG